TGGGGATAGGTGAGGTGAAGGGGTACCATATTGGCGCGACCGACGCTCGCCTGAACAGGAGCACGCAGCGACTGCGGAGACCGAAGCATCCATGGCTGTCATAAGATGGGGAGGACAGTAATCGATTATCCATGACCAGATTTTGAACTTTTCATTATAAAAGTGCCCTGCGACTATATGGCGCGTTCCTACATTTATTTGATTAGAAGACACCGGTTAGTCACCATGAGAGCATCATAAATGCCTAAGACAGTAGTATCGCCCTGCTTATGCCTTACTTTGCTCCTTTCTTTCACGAGTTAAGAAGTGAGGCTCTAAAGCAGTTGCATGAGCCCGGCGAAGCCGGGCTTCCAAGAAGGAGGAGAGCTCGGCGTTAGCCGGGCGATCCGACTGGTATCCTTATAAACCCAATTCAATCTATGTATCATTCACTTGTTCCAGCTATCGATATGTAATTCCCTTCTTTTGTGCAGACCATCTTCGGTTGTTCTCTATACTGTTCGTCCCTTTGAATTTTTTTGTTATTCTGTTGTTGCTGCTGTTTTAACGTCGCCCCTGTTGGCGACTTACATGCTCAGTCATGTAATAAACTGAACCTGAATCTTGTCGGTGAATTTCGAGATACTGCGCTTCCCACTGGCTATAAGAAAGGATTTAGCGTGCACCGGACTGACGGGCCTGGTTTTGGAACGAAGATGTCTCAGCCGCGGTCAAGGCAAAGAAAGACGCGTACAAAGCTTGGTACCTCAACCCTACGGAAGAGACCAGAATGAGGTACCGCGAAGCCAAGCGAGAAACTAAATGGACAATTGCTAGTGCCATTAGAGCAAGGCAGAAGCTCTTATCTGGATACCAAAGAAGGAGAGAAGCAGATTTGCCAGTGCTCGCTCCAGAGCAACGCAAGATTTCACGAGCACCACGACGTTCATTAAATCTGGCAATGGAGTGCTCCTGTATGACTTTGAGAAAATCAGGAAGCGCTGGCAAGATTACTTCCAGGAAATCTGCAACGTCGAGTATCCGCATCCGGCGCTTCCAAATGAACCACCGACCCAAGGGCCCATCCCACGTATCACCGAGGATGAAGTTGAAGGTGCCATCAAGAAGATGAAGAACAGGAAGGCTACTGGTCCAGATGACATTCCCGTTGAAGTATGGAAGCACTTCGGAGGTCGCTCCTATCTAACGCAGCTTTTCAACAAATGCCTGGAAGATGGAGTGATCCCGACGGACTGGTCAAAGAGTGTCACCGTGCCAATATATAAAAAAGGGAGATATCGCTAACTGCAGCAACTACCGACCGATTCGCCTAATGTGCCACACTTTGAAAGTTTTTGAACGTGTGCTGGACGCCAGGCTGAGGGAAATAGTTAACATCAGTCGGATGCAGTGCGGATTTCGACCTGAACACGGGACCACAGACGCCATCCACGTTGTTCGCCGTCTGATGGAAAAGGCTAGAGAATGGAACAAGCCACTTCATTTGGCTTTTCTGGATCTGGAGAGAGAGTGCCGCGTCAACTCATTTGGGAAGCTCTTCGGTATCAGCAAGTTCCAGAAGCACTCATTAAGGCAGTCCAGCTGACCTACTTGAACTCTACAACCTCTATCCGGACACCTGTCGGAGACACTCCACAATTCCGGGTGGCTGTCGGTGTTCACCAGGGATCGGCTCTTTCGCCACTGTTGTTCATTCTATGTATGGACCACGCCAAGATCAGGAAAGAGCCGCCTTTGACGCTGGGATATGCTGACGATGTACTGCTGATGGACAGATCCAAAGGGAAATTAGAACGGCGCGTCAACCGCTGGAAGAGAGAGCTTGCCAGCCATGGACTCAGGCTTAATATAAGCAAGACGGAATATGTGCACCACCGCAACAACATCGTCAATCGTAGTCGATGGAACACCACTCTTCAGAGCAACGACGTTTCCGTATCTCGGATCTACGCTTGCCGCGGACGGAGATGCCAAGGCCGACACCACTGCAAGAATCAACGCTGCATGGAGCAAATGGAGATCTGTTACTGGCGTTCTCTGTGATAGGAGAATACCAATACGCCTGAAGTCAAAGATCTACACTTCAGTCGTGAAGCCAGTCGCCATCTATGGAGCCGAGACTAAACAGATGACGGCCGAGGAAACAAGAGCGTACGGTGTTATGGAGATGAGAATGTTACGATGGAGTCCACACGCGACTCGACCGAATCCGCAACGAAACAGTCCGAGACAGGATGAAGGTCCACCCGATTGCCAACTCCCTTGCCGCAGCTCGTCTCCGCTGGTATGGTCACGTTCAACGGAGACCTCCTGATGCTGTATCGAAGTCCGCTGATAAGGTCGTCTTCACCGGTGCACTTCCAAAAGACCGACCTAGAATGCTCTGGAAAGCAAATGGACATGACCGCTGCTGGCCTGTCCTCAGCTTCTATTTACAGGAACCGTTGGAAAGCATTGGTCAAAGAAGCGTACCCCACAACAGTTGGACAAGGACGCTAAGAAGAAGAAGAAGACATAGTAGGACAATGCCAGCAGCAGTGGAGTTCTACACTCTAGTTCGCTGCGGACGGTTGGGCGTGTCAGGCAGTATGAGTGTTCACACCGTCAAAGCCGTTCTCTGCCTTCTTGTTGAAGCGCGCATGCGACAAAAAGTGGTAGAAAACGAGTACGATATGATACAGTCTTATCACTTGCTCGCTTTAACAACTGGTTTTGCACCGCGCCAAACTCGTCCCGCCTGGCACACCCAACCGTCCGCAGCGAACTACACTATACAATCACCAGCTTGGCTGGCGCACACTACTGCATGGTTGGACCTGTGGTAATGGTACTGATCACTGACAGGATTTCTATACTGGCCCCAAACACTTCGCCCGATTACAATTTTGGAATACGGCCCATTTCATTATGTTTCTCCTATTTAATGAACGTTTGCTAATGTCTGGTGCTTATCACATTTCTAAGAAACACTCACCATCCGTTGGAAATAGGACAGCTTAGCGGTTGAAAGACTTTAGGTGGTAACATCGATATCATGGTAAAATCACATTTTAGTAATTCCGTTGAGCAGCGCAGCTTCCAGGGCTTTTAATTTTCGTCGAAACTCGAGAGCCTGGCAGTCACAACTATATCACTAAGGTTTAGAATACTCACCAAGCCTCTGACCAGTTGCTGAAGTTCAGGCTGAGCAGAATAAGGATGCGAACAGGTACTGATCCTTATGAGCTCTTTCCTCACACTATATCACAACTTATCTCCCTTCACCAATGTTCCTTAACCCCTTCTGAATGACTTGCTAGAAACAGTTCCCAAGTGTTGCTACAACTCGTGCTATGAACCTCTTTCAAAAAGGTCCTCTGGTACCTTATCAGCTGTTATCACGTCCTGCCACCCACCAATAATGTTCCCATCCTGCCCCCTATCTAACTTCTTGGAACCCACATCCCGTCGTCGCTGTGGTCCGCGCTATGGAGCTGGTGACCCTTCCTTTTTAAGGCCCCTTGTGGTATCTTATCAGCTGTTATCACTTCCTGTCACCCACCAATAATGTTCCCATCCTGCCCCCTATCTTACTTCTTGGAGCCAACGCTCTAGCTTTGCTGTGACGCGCGTTATGAATTTGCTGACTTTGCCTTTATAAGGCCCTTATGGTATCTTACTGTTATCACTTCCTGCCACCCACCAATAGTGTTCCTGCCCGACCCCTACATCACTTATAAGTTTGAGCGCTTTATCGCTATTTTGAAGAAAGTTATGAATTTCCGGTCAAACACACACAAACATACACCACACACTCACCAGCAGACAAACTTAGCGGATTATGTACAGTCCTCATCATTACGTACTGTCGGGGCGGCACAGCCGCGCTGCACTGTGACGCGACAGCGGCTGCGGCTCGGTGACGGTGAATCAGCTGATTTCGATGCAGGGTACAGCATCGTTGTGCGAAACCCAAAGGGGAGGGGGTTCTACTGATGCGGAAATCCCCAAAATGGGTTCGTACTTGGCCGCGGGGGACGTGGGGAGTATCGCAAAAGTAGGCTCGCTAGGCATCAAACAGTACAAAAGTGTCATTGCTAAGTTTGATGGAACGGACGGAAAGCTGCAGAAGACCCGGATGTAAATAGGACTACAAAATAATAAAAAATTTATTAGCAATATAGCAAGAATAAATAATAAATAAATAAATAAATAAATATCAGTTAATAGCATGAACTCGTAAGTACGTAGATGACTAAATAATACGTCTCAAACAGATTCGTGCGTATTGTCCTTTCCAAACCCTAAACAAACATCTGCTTGCATGGATAAAAGCACCTGAAATCAGAATTTACACCTTTCCACCACCTCTGCGTAGGAGCGTAATGCACGGCGCACACTCGGACCAAATCGATCAGTGATAGCCGAGCTCCTCTTTCACTCATTTGAAGGGAAATATGTGTTTTGAAGGCACACTGAAGTTTCCGAAGGTGTATCCTCACAATGGCACAGAAGGAGTCGATTTTTCGGGTGGGTCAGAGGGTAGCGCGTCTGTGACCCATCTAAAATATCTCCTGAACTAGCGGGTCAAAACTGTAAAGCTTATTGGAAAGAGAAAAGATAGGGCGGTTTCAAGACGATTTTAATCCTGATGAAATTGCGTTCGAAATAAGTAATCCTCGTGTGAAGCATAAAAACCCGCTTGCCATTACCCCTAGCCGATCCGAAACCCATCCGAAATATTTCACGAACGGGGAAACATTCAGATTGCAACTGGGTAGAAAACGCAACAGTAGGAACATTCCCGTTGCATGCTGCTAACCATTCATCAAAAGCCGCGCCCCTCAAAGAGATATAACCCCCCGAAAAGACCCCAGGACGTTGGCAGGCCCAACAACCGCGCTCCAATGACGTTTTTCCAATGAAAGCGGTCGCAACGTAGCCAAGTATAGAACGATATACTGCCGCCTGGTTATCCATTTTTTCATTTGGCTCCGCATTTTTTTGTATTTTTCATGTTTCGCTTTGTTGTGTCGTGCATGTTTTCATGATTTCCCCGTCACCATTCATTGAATGCACATCTGGGGCCTGACACGCTGACCTTGGGGCTATTTTTTTCACCAATTTAGCTTATCAATGATCACCATTAGTCGCTGTTTCGATTGTGTTCCTTGTTACAAGTTGCATGTCATACATGGTTATCGAACGACGAGTTTTATAAGACAAAATTGTAGGTAATGCGAGGCTGTTGTTCAGCCTCATATTGCATGAGGCTGAAACAGCCTCTTATTGCCTGGATTTTAGAGCAGAGTCCGCCTTTCGAAAATCCAGATTCCATTTCAGGAAGCCATTTGTGGTGAACATGCATCTGGTTGTCAGTTAGAGCAGGAGGGGGGGTCGTATCTGGACCCCTTCGAGGGGGGGGGTCGTACTCACACCGCCATTTCGCGCATCCCCATGCTGTACCCTATTTCGATGGAATTCGGCTACCAATTCCCACTTTTTCAGCTCTTCAAGCTTCTAAAGTGGAAGGTGAGTTATTCTGACCAATTTAGAATTGTACTGACTCTGAATGAATCTGAAAGAATGTAAGCCATTTGAATAAATGCCTGAAATAAGGCAAAATACAAGGAAAAGAGCATAATAATCGACATAAAAATAAAGGAAATCAGAGCCAGTACAATTCAAAATTGTTCAGAATAACTCACCTTCCACTTTAGAAGCTTGAAGAGCTGAAAAAGTGGGAATTTGCAGCCGAATTCCATCGAAATCAGCTGATTCACCGTCACCGAGCCGCAGCCTGTCGCGTCACAGTGCAGCGCGGCTGTGCCGCCCCAACAGTACGTAATGATGAGGAGTGTATAGTAGGGTTGTCGAAAAAAAACTTAATGAGCACGAACATAAAAGATTTATTGAGTCATTAATAAGCAATATGCACACGTCTTCTGAGAGAGATTGTGAACCCAAATAGTTAAACATTCAAAGGTGTGTCACCTCCCCTTGAATTTTTCAAATAATAAATCAATCGTTTAAAAGCAGAGTGCTTCCCACAAAACACTCATAAGAATGCACTGTGCCGGGATGAATATATGATGACTAGATCATTCTTAACGTTGGACGATATTGGTCTTTTTCCATGTACAGTTGTTCGCGTATAGATTTGCTCTCAACCGGTATCCAATGATATCTAAAAGTGTATCGATTTCTTAATTTTTTGACATTGACAAGGGAAGGATGCTAGGTCGAAAGGGTCATTTGAAAAGAGATAGATATCGACTGAAAGGTCTTTGGACGGGGATTACGAAGTCTCCCATTTCTGCTATCTGCTGCGGACCTCCCAGAGCAAAGTGACAGGGCCTTTTTTGGGGAGCATACTGGAATCAATGCGAATTCGCGGGGTAAAGCTCCCCCGCTCGAAGCAGCGTGACCGAGTGGATGCGTCGTAGCCCTCACGAACACATAGTTGAGGCTCATCACGTTGAACGTGTGAGTGGTCAAAAGTGGCCTCGGTAGCGTAATAGGGAACGCAACTGCCCGGTAAGCAGAAGATGCGGGTTCGAATCCCGTCCGTGGTCCGACTTTTGCCCACAACTCAGCATTCTTGTGATAACTTTCGGATCGCGCACTGCGGCGTTAAACAGCAGTTATTAAACAATAGCAACTTGAAACATAGTTGAGGGTCTGAATCCTCGATGGGTGTGCTACTCTGTATATTTTCGGAAGTGGTCTGTGCACTCGAAAGCATTTTTGCGTAACTCTTGTGCTTGATAATGTCGTCAAGGTATGTTTCTGAACTAATGGAGCCATTGTGGACGACTTCCATGGAGAACAATTCTTGGCTGTAAATTTCTCACACGAATCGAAAACTTCCAGCAAATGCAGAAGTCCCACTTCAGGATAGAATTTTCAACACTATGTAAGTGATGAATGAAGGTTTTGCCCGTCATAACCTCTGGCAAGATGGTCAGTCAAAGTCACGTCGTGGGGAAGCTTTCCAAGTATACGCATCTTCCCGCACAACTTCGTTTGGTTTCGGGTCCAGCCATGTTGTCTGGAAAACAGGGTCGTTTTCAAGACAATTTTCTCTCTAGTTGGAGAGCATTTTTATTGTAAAAAAATAAAAGCTCACTGAAGCAATGAGAGAAGGAATCAACATTCAAAAATGTCCTCCATGGAATCGTCCATAATGGCTCCATCAGTTCAGAAACATTACGTCACGACATTATCAAGCACAAGAGTTATGCAAAATGCTTTCGAGTGCACAGAGACCACTGTCAAAAAATGCAAGGTAGCACCCATGAAGGATTCAAATCCTCCACCCAAACTTCGTGGAACCTACGACGTAGAAACTCGGCCACGCTGTTTTCAACGGAGTAGCATCACGCCGTTTATCCGTATTGAAGGCCAGTATGCTCCCCAAAAGGGTACTGTAACTCTGCTCTGTGAGGTCCGCAGCAGAGTTGGAAACTTCGTAATCCTCATCCAAAGACCTTTCATTCGGTAGACATCTCATTTCAAATGGTCTCTTCGACCTGCCATCCTTCCGTTGTGAGTCTGGGGAGCTACACTACCTACCGCGGACTTCGTATCACTGCTTTCGTGGCGCTTTTCTTGTGTTGGCAGTATAATCGAACTGAGATACCGTGTGCTAACGACTGCAATGGATTCGGATGGCACTTGATTCGGACGACGTGCGACGGGGCAAACACAACGTTTCCTCCTTCTTCCAGAAGGTGCTGCAACAAGTTGTTTAGAGTTAGAGAACGTAACCAATCAGCACCTTCAGAGATTTGAGAAAGATCAGTTAAGAATCAAAAATTCTACTGATATGGACATTAACATAGCATAAACACTTACCCTGTAGACTTTGGAGACGACCATAGCAAAAAAGTACTCAAAGCCGAACTCCACAGTAGGGAAGGGTTGCTCGTGTTCGATGAGCATATCTTCGTCTTTAATGGACTTATGAACAAGTACTTCTGTTCGAGATCTGAAAATGAAGTGATTGTCACAGATGGTTCAGATAGTTTGCTAGTATAGATAGTTTGTTTCAGGTAGTTCTCAGTGCACTAAAGCAAACAGTAACCACTTATTCAAGTTCAGCATTTATGGCTTTCTAGCAGTCTCGGCAGTCTCGGCACAGCGTCGATTGCAATGCGCTCAATTTCAACCCAACACAAAGTTGTTGAATCAGCTTTATAATTCTACAGTCGTCATCCGGGCAGTTGATTAGGCGGCCAAAGGGTCGCGACGCGGCTGCGGCTCGTCACGACCGCGGCGATCAACTGTTTCCAGCCTGGTTTAGCCATTTCTCCCTAATTTTCACTGCATTTTCTACTTCTCAAGATTTTGTGTTATTACTTTTATGAAGTGTATTAGGACGCGGATTCTTTTCTTGTTCTTTTAATGAGGTGCTTTTGCGTTTTTTTTAGATAGTTGTTTGATTGTTCGCAAAAATTAGAGCAATCTCAATCATAGTTCACCTTGTGAAGACAAGGAACAACCGAACCTCAAGAAAAGCAGTGAAAATTAGGGAGAAAATGGCTAAACCAGGCTGGAAACAGCTGATCGCGGTCGTGACGCGCCGCAGCCGCGTCGCGACCCTTGGCCGCCTAATCAAGTGCCCGGATGACGACTGTACTTTTCGACAATACCGCCCGCGTCGGAGTCGTAATACAACCAGATTCTTGACACATTCGGAGGTCGGCATTAAGAGCGAAGAGGTCCTAGTTGTTTTGGAAGGTGATTCCGCCCAAAAGTGGGCCAAAATCCGACTGACACTGACCACAAAGACTATACGGCAGGGAGGGCGGCGTGGCTTGAAGCGCAGCCAGAGCAAATGATTCACCAGTTGTAGCGGACCCAAGATGACATATTATCGGTTCATGGCCGCCCTGGCTGCGCTCCCAACCACGCCGCGTCAAACAGTCAATCGTTTGCATGGATCACCTTTGTACTTTGATGTCAAACAACTGTTTAAATGACTTACTCGTCTAAACTATGGCGTACAATCATGAATTCTATAAACAATCCAGGAATATTTATATTGAGCGGAAGAATCCGTGGAAGATCCGTATGTTGCGCTTCTCTGTAAGCTAATCCTTGTTCAACCAGAGGAATGAAATCCTTCACCCTGAAAAAGGTACGTTGCTACCTACACACTTTCCAGCTTAGGCGTTGGAATTCGGCACTACATTTTCTTCACACATACCTTAACGGGAGTTTCTTCGCCAATACTTCTTCAACAGGCCACCATTGAGCACCCAGAGACTCTTGATTTGGTTTCGTTTTCAGCTCACCACCTGAAGGAAGCTTCGGGAATAGAAACGAATTTTAACTTCATACGGCTTAGAAATGGCACAGCAAGTCCTTCATTTCTAGAACCAGACGAAGAATTTGAGATAGACTGATTGATAACAG